TTTTCATAATGTCAAATCGTTGTACTTTTCAGAGGGGCTTCTTTCACATAGGAATATGCATATAAGATTCTCCCATGTTCTTTCATGGCTTGATTAACTCATTTCTTTTTAGTGCTAGATAATATTTTCTTGTCTGAATGTACCACAGTTTACTTATTCACCTATTGAAAGACATCTTGATTGATTCCAAATTTTGACAATGATGAATAAAACTTCTGTAAACATCCAGGTGCAGGGTTTTGAGTGGACATGTTTTCATTTCATTTGGCGAAATACCAAAGCATGAAACTATTGAAGTACATGGTGAGGCTTACATATTACACTGCAATATGTAAGGCCTGTATGTAAACTATAATTTCTTTATTGAATTGCTTCCGCTCCTCTGTCAAAGATCAGTTGATTATTGAAATTTCTTCTACCTCTTAATTTCCCCTTTTCTAGCACGCACTCACTTCGTTTCCATTCTATTTCTTCAGTTCTATTCATTAATCCTTTCCTAATGCTATTCCATTACTTTTTAAATAAAAATAATAATAATAGCTTTCATGTTCCATTAAAGGGAGAAGGTCTGAACTTCCAATTCTTAACAATCTTTGGTTGTTGGCTCAAACTGGAATGTCCACTCCGTGGGCGAGAGAATAAAACAGACAACTGGGGGGGTCGGGCCCGCGACTTTGGCGTAATTAGCACCACGCTCTAACCTACTGAGCTAACCGGCCACAAGGTGGCAGCCTTGTCTTTCAATGAAATGATAACATTAAAAAGTTTATGCTCTAAAAGGGATTTTTTTTCACACCTTCAACCCATACTATTGAGATATGACTTTCTAAGCAGTATTCCTTGTTCACACAGTTAAATTGTGAATGTGCATCAGCTCTCACGAAAAGGAGAAATAACTCTGCCGAAACCCGGGATCGAACCAGGGACCTTTAGATCTTCAGTCTAACGCTCTCCCAACTGAGCTATTTCGGCTCGTCCTGGTGCTAACTTTCTTGTCAATTACTTTTAAATAATCTTTTTCATCTCAGGATCCCTTTGGGATGCCACATCTCAAAAAAAATTAAGGTTATTTTTTGTCTCGCTCCTGAAAACATAACGTTTTGCCCAGTAGAGTCAGAGATAAGGTAATCAAAGTAAATAGTATAAAGAATGTGTACCTCCTTAGAGGAGAGGAAATCTGAGGACAAAGTGAGGGGGAAATACACTAGACAGGATTAGACCCGGAGGGACAGCGTGAAGACAGAGCAACAGACTTATTACTTCAGACACACAGGGTTCTCCAAACAAGGCGATTTACTTCTTTCTGATGAGATTAGGACTAAATGCCCACCAGCCACCAAGCCTGGTGTTTCCCAGTCTGGTTTATGGGAAGCTGGCTGCTGAGCGCGCCCGGAGCTGGCTGGGACTTCCCAGTGACTTCTAGGAATATTGCCTAGATTATTTCAATCTCCCTGCAGCCTGGAGGCCTCGAAGCGAGGACACCTGGGGGCGGCTTCTGCGTGGCTCGGCCCCCCGCGACCCCAGAGAGCAGGGTCCAGTTTCCCGCTTCTTTGCTCATGTCCCAAGGAGCCAAGGAGTCGTTTAAAGAAAACAACGGGAACCAGGGAGGCAGGCTGACCTGCCCAGCCGCTGTGAGGTCTGCTGATGGAAGAGCTGGCTCGCGGGGGGCATTTCCATTGGCCAGCTCTGGCTTGATTTCTTCCCGTTTGAAAACGACAGGGCGTTTTCAAAAGTCACCGGTTTCCTTAAGCCGGTGACTATCAGCGGTCTCACCATGGAAAATAGAAAAACCGCTTTTTGGCTTTTTTTTTTTTTTTGGAGAGAAGAGGAAAAACGCATAAGAATGAGACGAGTTCCTCACACCGCAGAGGGAAGAAAACATGCTCCAGGTGAGGCTCGAACTCACAACCTCGGCATCACCCGCACGTATACCGCCGTATAAGTACCGCGCGCTAACCGATTGCGCCACTGGAGCATGCTTTCCCCGCGCGCCCCTCGCGTGCTCTACGGAGCCGCAGGCACACGCAGCCGCTCGCTCCGCGGGAGCCTTCTCCTCCCCGGCCGGCCCTGCGCATACAACTCGTTTGAATGCTATTCGTTTGTCAGCTCTCCGGGAAGATGCTTTCTCTGAGCCTCCGAGAAGCAGCGTTTCCCGAGGATCCCGCGCGAGGGGCTGAGCGCGCCGCCCGGGCCCCAGGGCCGCCATGCCCTGCCGCGCTGCGAGCCCCGAGTCCTCCCGACGCCCGAGTCCTCCGGAGCCTGGAGTCCTCCGAACGCCCCCCCCCCCCCGAGTCCTCTTGACCCCCGAGTCCTCCCGACCCCCCGAGTCCGCAGGCTTGCTTGCTTGTCTCTGGCCTGGGGACACTGCCGCCACCAGCCCGCACACAGGAGCCTGCGCCCCCGAGTGAAGGCGCAGCTCCCTCTGTGCGCGAGCGGAGCGGAGCGGAGCGGAGCGGAGGGCCTGCCCGAGCCTGGGGTCCAGGCCAGGAAGCCCAGGACTCCCGCGCTCCCCTCAGTCTCCGTCTGGGGGGCGGGGCTTCCCCGGGGCCGCCTCTCTCGTGTGGGTTCAGCGGAGTCGATGATGTTTTCAGCCTGTGCGGCTTCTTCATGATTGTTCAGGGAGGAGAAGCGACTGCCAAGCTCCCTACCTGAGAACCTGGAAATCCAGAGTTGCTTTTCTTTTTCTTTTTCTTTTTCTTTTCCTTTTTCTTTTATTTTTTATTTTTATTAAACATCACTAAACACAAGACCCTGGAATTAGCAGCTTTTTATCAACATGAGTTAATTTGCACTATTTGCTGCTCTGCACACCCTTTGGCTGCACGGCTTGCAGTTTGGTTCCGCCTCGGAAAACAACTGTTTTGTAAAAGACAGGGTTGGGCCAGTCTGAGCCGGCGTTGCGGTGACAGGAGCATTCACCCATTAAAAGCAAACAAACATATTCATCACATATATTTGAATTCTGACTGCTTGTGGTGATTCGGTCATTAAAAAAGCTTGGTTCCTACTATGAAGTGTCATTTTAGTAAGATTCTTTATTAGTTATCATGCAATATCGGCTAAAACATATCGGTGAACAAATAGTATTCTTACCTAGACCAGAGATGAAGTGAAAAACGAGCTGAATTCCGAATGAGCAGTAGGACTTCCCAGAAGGACCGCCAGGAGGGGGAGGGGGTGTGTTTGGAGCAGAGAGCAGCGTCAGTGAGGTTGTGACGCAGAAAGAACCCTGACGACCCCCGGGAACAGCCAGAGCCCTGAGTTACGTGCCGTAGAGGAAGCTGCTCAGGCTGAGTTTAGCGGGTGGGTGGGAGTTAGTCACCTGTGATCATCTTGAGTGTACCAATTCACAGTGAGGTACAACGGGGCGTGTGTTGGGTTGTCAGGCATCATTGGGTTCAGATGACACCGCAGCTTCGTTGCATTGTTTTGAAGAATGTTGCTTTAGCATTTACTGCTTTTGTTAGCAGAGAATTAACGTCAAGGGAACAGTCCCCACAAAAACCAAAGGTCACAGGCTCCAGTGAGATTCGAACTCACGACCCCTGGTTTACGAGACCAGTGCTCTAACCCCTGAGCTACGGAGCCTTAGCTGCTTTCCCACTTCCTCCTTGAAGTGGATCATTTGTTCAATTCTTTAGGTTTTTCTTGCTTTGCAGAAAAACGTGACATTCTACCTTCAGCCTATTTCCTATTCTCTGAGCTGTGGACAAAAAAGAACTGTGTTCTCTATGAGTCTCACCATCCCCCTCAGTGGTGAGGGTTTGGCTAGGATCAGGGCAGTGACGGGGGTGGGGTTGGGGTTGGGGTTGAGGTGGGGGAGGGAAGCGAGGAGGAAGGTGGGTCCAGATAGAGCAGCTCTGCTCTCGGGAGCCCTGGCAAAGAAACCAGAAAACGGCCGCGATTCACCAGGAAAAGGGGCTGTATGAAGACGGAGCTCGAAAAAGCAGCAACCACAACGTGCAGAGTTGGCGTACCTCACTATTCTCTTTCGCAGGCTTGTTGGTCAGGAATCATGGATTCTGGAGAGCCCACTGGGAGACGGATCTCCGGCTGGGGCCGGAAACCCTCTGAAGCACCCTTGACTGTCGGTTTTAGGACTCGTGTTCTATTAGGTGCTCGCTCTCCAGATCAGTGGGTCGCCCAGCTATTCACTGAGAGTCTCCCCTGATCCTGGAGCAGCCGGACCAGTGTTGGGTTACAAAGACCATAGTAGCCCTGGAGTCCGGGTCACAAGTGGGGTCGGGCCAGGGGGCCTGGGCCGGGGAAGCTGTGGGAGGAGAGGCGAGGAGGGTGACCCTCTGGGCCCAACATCCAGTCGTGGGCCTGTTGACATTATCCAGGTCCTCACAGACATGCCTACTCTCCTGTCTTCCCGTTTCTCGGTGGGTTCAGAGTTCCATCCAGGTCGGACAAATTCCAGAAATAACTCCCCACCCTCTTCTAGGATGCAGCTGGGCGTTGACTGTCTGACTCTGTAGTTTAGCCCTTTGAAAATCCTATATCTATGTGTCAGGATGGCCGAGTGGTCTAAGGCGCCAGACTCAAGCTTGGCTTCCCGTCTTTGGGGATTCTGGTCTCCGCATGGAGGCGTGGGTTCGAATCCCACTTCTGACACGTCAGCATTTTGCTTTTCAAGATTCCTTTTGTGCTATTTTCCTTAGTAATCCAATTAGTATTTCCTTAGTAATTCAATTAACCTTCCCTCTACACTGTATCCTGTATTTTGTGGAGGGTTTTTTCCTTGTAGAGAAAATTACTGAAATCTTTACTGCCTTTCCCACACATGGAAAGAATCTCTTATAAAGTTCTATAAAAAATTTGCCAGGTGCTCGCTTCGGCAGCATATATACTAAAATTGAAACAATACAGAGAAGATTGGGATAGCATCTGCACAAGGATGACAAGCAAATTCCTGAAGCGTTCCATATTAAAAAAAAAAAAAAAAAAAAAAAAAAAGAAATTGCCAGTTACCTTCCTGTGTCACCTCTAAAATCTAAGAAGGAAAGCTCTTCGAGATTATGACACTGCAGTAAGTACTCCCCTCAACTATCAGTGCAACGAAGAGGAGTTTAGGACTAAATATAATCAAACTTAGTGGCAACACTCAACTTGGGGGATGTGGCCAATATTCCTGGAAAACTCTAGTGGTTTCTAGAACAGCAATATCCTGGGTAGGCCACCTGGTAGAGCATTTGACTTTTAATCTGAAGGTCCAGGTTTCAAGTCGCTATCCAGTTGAGTCATGTTTGTTTTATTTTAGTTAATAAGGTCTGGGTAACAGAGCACAATCAGGAACATCTCTGAGTGGGGAAACAATAACAGGCAAAGCCACTGCCCTGAAGTAGTTTAAGTTCTCGCCCTTCATGAATTATCCTTTCCCACTATTAAGTGAAACACTTCCCCAAGTTTCTAAGAGAAATTGAAAAGGGGCACCATATAGAAATAAACTAGCGATAGGATTGATGAGAAGTGAGCCACGTGGAAACGTGAGTTTGAATCCCATTTCTGACAAGATGATTTTTTCTTACCCTGTTCACCACAATTTATCTGATTGATTCAAATCCGGAGGGTGTTTTGGCCTGGTAAGATACTAAGCAAATCTTATCCTCCTCCCATTACCACCACCCATATTTGACCCGTAAGCCAGTACGGGCATCCGGTGGGAAGACAAGGAGATGTTGCTAAAAGGCCTACAATGCACAGGGTAGACAACCTTTGCAACCAAGAATTATCTGGCCTGAAAAGCCAACGAGAGTCTGTCTTACTGTGAATTCCCAGGCTTAGCCGGAAACCCTCTCACCCCAGACTGTAATAACGTGTGCAGGAAGCCCTCCTCACCTACACCCCAGTGCGGCAGACCTCTCATCCAGTGTGTAATGACAGTGCTTGAAAGAAACGTCTCTGGCCTCGACCTCTCAAGTCCATGATGCATCCAGAAAAGACAATAATTCTGAAACTTGCAGGACAAAACACGAGCTCTGAACCGACTGTCTGCAAAAACACACAGTTTGTTTTCTCCACTTTGCCCTCCACCCCAGTGTGAGTCGTCATCACCCAAGTCTTTCTAATCAAAGAGAAACATTTTTTTTAGTTGGCACGAGAGAAATGAATCCTCTAAATGTAGACTTTGATGTTGTTGAACTTTCCTCAGCCACTTTTCCCTGATTTTGGCAACTGTCTTTTCCAATGCCTTTCACAATCATATGAGCCTTGCGTTTGTTCTTGAATAATTGATGCTAGTTAGAGGTTTGCAGAATCCATGAAGGCTTCTCTACCCCTCTCATCTGTCGACATTTAATTAACCTTAAAAATTACTTTGCATGCATACTTTGGTAACTATTTTATGGTCTTTTATATTCATAACAAACAGGTGTGTCCAAACTGGTTTTACTCAGTGGATAGAGCTTTGGCCTATGGACCGAAGGGTCCCGGGTTTGATTCTGGTCAAAGGCATGTACCTTGGTTGTGGGCACATCTCCAGTGGGGGGTGTGCAGGAGGCAGCTGATCGATGTTTCTCTCTCATCAATGTTTTAAACTCTCTTCCTCTCCTTTCCTCTCTGTAAAAAAATCAATAAAATATGTTTTGTTTTGTTTTTTAAAAAAACAGTTGCAACTTTAAAAAAAATACATGTTTTAAGGAGCTCTCATGACTGAGGTCTGCCGAAAAAATATTTTTAGAAACAGGCAGAAAATAAGATTTAAAATATACTGGAAAATCTTTTAAAGTAAATGGTTTTGAATTTACAGACTGCCAATAAAGAAAAGCACATTAGAAATGCTCTGAATCTGTGAATCACAGGGTGCGTGATGTGCTTTGACATCCCATGACAATAATTCTTTTGCTTATCAGTCAGGGAACAGTTCATCTTTTCTGGATATAGACAAAAAGTTGTTTTATTTTTAATTAAGATTCCACCACCACCACCCCCTGCAAAACTTTGTCACTTCTATTTAAATATTATGTATTGAGTACAAGCAATTATCTAGGCTTCCTCCAGATGCATCGTGTTCACTAACTCTGGCCTCTTGCCCATTTACAGCTTATTGGTCGAAAACTGGGGCCTATCTTTGCCTCCTAGAACCTGGCGTCCACATTTGATCATATTGTTCTGAATTATTTCTGTTCACCATCTGGGAATTCTGAGGAAAGAACCAGTGAGTTACAAACGTAAAAGAGGGAGTGAGGATTGTGCTCTGTGTCTACATTTAGAGAAAATGAGCCCAAAATTAAACCAGGCAATCTATTTTTTTTAGAAAGCAGCTAGGATCTCACAGGAAGTGAAACTCGCAGAGCGACAATACCTTCACGTTTCTTCTTGGTACAACGAGATGAACACACTCGGTGTGAGCCCGGGTGCCTAGGGATGCAGGTAGTGGGTCCAGGCATGGTTTTCATCATCATCTCTCTCCCCGTGGACACTTGAATCCGCCAGAGCTCTTCCTTCCCTGGAGCCCATAAAGCGCAGTGCCATTCAGCCAGGGCCTGGCCTCTTGCGAGTCCTGGTAAAAGGGGTTGGTCCCGTCCCCACCTGAAGCCAGGGCCACGCTCATTCCACGTCGGTGCTCGGTGAATTCGGCTGCATTTCGGAGAGTCCAGCACCCAGCGGAGCCCAGTCCACCCGTGAGGGGTCAGGCTCTGGTGGATGAACTGACCTGAACTCTGCTCGAAACAAAGATGCCTGTACAGTACGCACCTGTGCGCTCAGCCTAGTGTCCCTTATGTCGGAGCGTGTGACCTCCCACCCACATCTTATTCACCCGAGGATTTACCCAACTTGCTAACACTTGCCAAACAGAAATCTTACTGCCTTACGTAGCGTATTCCCCTGCAAAACTTGAGAACATCTTTCTCGCTCCTGAAGTTGCACACCTGTAGTCGTGGCCGAGTGGTTAAGGCGATGGACTAGAAATCCATTGGGGTTTCCCCGCGCAGGTTCGAATCCTGCCGACTACGTCGAGTTCTACTTTATGCTAAGCTTGAAGCTGCTGCTTGCAGCATCCCCCCTTAGCCAACACCAGTGGTCCAGTCGCAGCCCCAACCCCACACTCCCTCCCCTCCCACAGACTGCCCACAAGAGACAAGCGCGTAGTAGGGTTGTTTCTTCAAAGCTTGTCTCCAACAAGTGTCTCTCTCCTAACACTTGCCCAAACTAAGCTATTTCAAAAAGAGACAGTTTGGTGGAACATAATAACTGTTGCAAAATGGGAGCTATTTTTATTTTAAAATGTATCATAGTGTTAAATTGGGAATAGGAACTTAGGAATAAATTTGTAATGATGATAAAGAGACTTCTCTCAGAAGTAAAGAATATGATTAACAGAAGGAAAAAGCAGTTAATAGATTATTGGAAGATAAAGTTTAGAGGAAAAAACCCACCTGAAACACATCAAAGGTGGAAAGTAGTGAAAAGAAATACGAACCACTAGTTCAGAAGATTCCCTGTCTTCTGATGACTGGCAGTTCCAGAAGAAGACAGGAGAAAACCTGGAGGGGCAATTTATTTTTTTAATATATATATTTTATTGATTTTTTTTACAGAGAGGCAGGGAGAGGGATAGAGAATTAGAAACATCGATCAGCAGCCTCCTGCACACCCCTTACTGGGATGTGCCTGCAATCCAGGTACATGCCCTTGACCGGAATTAACCTGGGATCCTTACGCTCTATCCACTGAGCACACCGGTCAGGGCAGGCATTTTACTTTTTAAAAATATAAGAAAATTTCTCAGAACTGCAGGATTTGATGATCCAGATGGAAATGAGACCCTTAGACATATTAGAAAATATGTCCCTACTTCAAAGTCATGAAGATATTCCCCTGTGTTGTTTCTAGAAGCTTGCTTTATTTATTTGTCTGTCTATCTTTCTATTTGTCTAACTGCTACATTCAGATCTACAGACTCTCTGGAGGTGGCTTTGTGGATAATGTCAAAGGGGTCCATTTAATTTTCTCCCCTGGCTATACTCAATCATTTCCCCACCCCTTATATTCACAGTTTATGCAAAGACTATTCATTCTCACTATTTCTGAAGTGCTCCTTTGGTCATAAGTTAGGGTATGGAGTGTAGGGGTCTCCGTCCAAATTCTATTTGGTGGCATTGTCTGTCCATGGACCATGGACCATTGTCTTAATTACGCTACTGTCTTTACTGTTTGGTAAAGTAAGTCCTCTAATTTTGCTTTCCTTTTTAAAGATAACTTGGGCTACTTTGGCCCTTTTCACTTTAATATTATATTTCAGTCAATTTATCAAATTTTTTTTTAAAAAGACACATGATGGTATTGTTACTAAAAATGCACTGACTCTATAAACCAATATGAGATCTTTATAGTATGGAGTGCTCCAATCTAGGTCATTTCTAGGAACTTTGTTTAATCTAACATTTACTGGCATATTTACTTTTAATTTTCTTACTGCATGTGGCTGCTTTAATTTTTTTTTATTATTATTATTGATGGGAATGTAAAATGGCTTAAAGTAGAACCTGGTTGAATCCACTGGACCTGGCCTAGATCTGTCTAACTCTGGTCTCTCCAAACTGCATGGTCAAGAGCCCACATCACATAACCACTTGGAGATGAGAGAGACAAGGACAACAGGTTTGACGGGAACCTCAGCTTTGGGCGTGGGTGCAACTTTGCCTCCTAATAGACAATATCAAGGTTAATGAATCACGCAGCCTGGATGTAAAGAGCATGCTTCTGCAGCTTTATGCCTGATTTGCCTGAGTGATTTTGTTTCTTATTATCACTAATACTAGGCTACATGATAGAAGGAAGAAGCCCAAATGTGGGGGGTTCTTTGGCTGCGGCAGAGCCTTCAATGAGTTTGCGAATTCCCTGGAATTGTTTGTTACTCCTGGGTTCTTCTTGGGTGAGAGAGTGCATAAGTGTCCAGTCCATATGCCAGGAGGTGACAGCCCCTCACAGGTTGTAGAAATCTACCCCAACACCTTCACAGTCCATTAAAGGGACCAGGGAGAAATGGCCAGCTTTGTTTTCTTGTTTTGAGAAATGCCTAAAATGCCTTCCCATGAGGCCCAGGCACATTCTTTTTAACTAGTACAAGCAGCCTCCCTACATGGGCTCAGCAGCTTACAACAGCCAGGGGTTGCCCACATATTGGGGGCAGCCCCACCACAGGGCCTTTGTGGCACGCGCATGTGTGTGTGTGTTCACATGCCAACGCTGGCACACATCCCTTGAAGTCACTGCACAGAGGCTTGTCTCGGCCACAACTCTAAGTACCATAGAGAACTTGCTCTTCATCTTCTCTTTTACATCTTACTGTCTTGATGCTGCCAGAGGTAAACCACTTCCTTTTCTATAACCGGGATCCATCGGCTGTGCTACATTGTACATTCAGTGTATAGAAGGTCCTGGATCAACTCTCTCTGCAGAGTAGCACCAGCACTTCTTGTGCAGATCAGAAATTTCCATTTCTATTCGTCTTTTAGCTTTCCATCTTATCCATGTGGTTAGAAGGCCAGAAACAAGCGTTTCCCCCAACATCCCCCAATGGGTTTTGTTTTAGGGCCATATTTACGTACTTCCTGCCCAGTGGACACTAATCTGCTCAGGGGTAGGGGGTATGCCTTTGTCTTATTTATCTTCGTGTCTCTAGTACCTCACCCTTCACAGGAGTTCCAGCAACCGGCCACACAAATGATCCGAAGAAGCCTCTCTTAATTACTTTTTCCCACAATAGGGACTTGGAAACGTCTTCCTCCCTAAGGGTCCTTAGGCTTGTTTCCATTCCAGTTTCTCCTCTCCCCAATTCCTTCCTCCTGCTTTTCGGGTTGATAAACCCTTTGTAGGCCAAGAAGGGACTACCCAGAAGGACACCAGCTGTCACCCCCTCTGAGACTAAAGAGGAGGATCTGTCTCTGTATTTTGTAAGCGCTACTCCTACCCTCCCTTTACAATCACGTCCTGTGGCTGTCCTTGCTCCTGGGGTGCGGGATGGCCTTTTCTCGGGCGCCGGAGATGGTGCGTGTGCAGTTGTATTGGGTGAACACGACCCAGAGTCTGGTACGAGGTCTCAGCCCTTAGCAGATGCGTGTTTGGAGGGGTTGGCCATGGAATCGATGTTTTGGAGGTTCCTTGTGTTTATTCGGTTTTTAATCTCTGGGACAACTGGAAGGAGAGGTGTGTCTCCTTTGCACGTTTGCTCCTCCAGGTGAGCAGGGAGTTCCCGCTCCCACGGGGTTAAAGTCCTTACGCAGCCCAGAGAAATGCCGGCACAGCCGCCGGGAGCCTCACCGGCACAGACTCCCACGCGCGGCTCTGGGCTAGGAGCTGCGCCGCGGAGCGTCCTGAGTGCGCACGGGAGCCGAGACCTGGGCGAAGGGGCGGCCTCTGCAGGGCTGGGGTCGCATGGACCCCGGAAATTTGTTCTGTAACTGGGTCCAGGGGAAGGTCTCTGCGCATCAGCCGTGAGGACGGCTTCAGGGCGGTGGGAGCGTGCACTGGGCACCTGCCTCCCCGTGGAGGTCAGCAGGATGACCTTGAATTGCTGCGGCTCGGTCACGCTCCTCGCTCAGCGCTACAGGTGACCCAGTTCAGACTCTTTCAAGTACAGTTCTCCCATTTCCTCTCAAACACACTCTTTTTGCAAGTCTTCCTCCGTGGATGTGCCAGAAACCGACCCATGAATGCTTGTTTTATCACAGGCTACGAGCCTGATCAGTACGTAATCTAGGCGGAAAAAAATAGCTCAGGACTGAAGTCGAGCAGAGTTGCAGATAAGAGATGTGAAATCTCTAAGTTCATAGTTTATTTGTCTACTTAGGAACTAAAAATACGAATTTCACCAAGTTTTCAAGAATTGAATCATATAATCAACATAACATCCTCGGTTTCACCACTCAGGGGTGCTATAGCTAAGAAATGTGCACGCATTTTTTCTTAGTAAAGAAAGCAAGGTCTAGGACCACCAAGTTCCCCAGTTAATTATGGGGGGAGGGTAGACTTTATTGTTGGGTACTCAGCAAAAAATAAAATAAAATAAAATCTCATGATTTTCTTTGAAAGAGCATCGTGAGTGGATAATGCTGTCATTAGAATGACGTATCTCATCATAGACAATTACAGGAAGGAGCAGCACAGGGGAGGTTCCATGGTGTAATGGTTAGCACTCTGGACTCTGAATCCAGCGATCCGAGTTCAAATCTCGGTGGAACCTGCTTACCATTTTTCTTTTTTTCCTCCAAGGAAAACACCACCTAAATGACCAAATTCAGTTTTGATCCTGACATCACCTGTGACTTCATGAAGTCTCCACACACCTGTATCTCTGAGGATACAGGAACAGAATTCCACTCTGGGTTAAAAAATTTTACTTAATAAGGAAAACGCATCATGACGTCCGAGGATGAAACGTTGACAGCAAATACACTTTCTGGTAGAATATCCACCCTCTGTTGAAGAATGCTGAAGCTCGGTTCGGCTGCTTAGGCTGATGAGCCAGAGATCTTATGTGATGTTGTGGCCAACTGGTTAAAACTACGAACTAGAACCCATTCGGGTCTCCCAGCACAGGTGTGAATCCTGCTGACAATAGAAGAGAAAAAAAGAATCAATGTGTTACATACATGAGAACCAGCTGTCTGTGTCTCCCTGAAAGGAAAACTCACCAATCTGGTTCTTCCTGATGTTAGTGAAAGACTCATTACTTTTTAAAAAAGGAGTGAGAACACAGTCCTGATGGTGTTTCCTTTCCCCCAAGGGAGCCCAGGCTTTGGTGATGTTTTCATGATTCCCGCAGTCAAAACCCTAGGTGAAGGCAGCCTTTCCTAAGGAAAGCAATGTTTGCTCTCCAAGGAGCTGGTCTCTGAGACAAGCACGCAGGAAAGAGAACCCCAGGAAATCTTGGACCATCTACGGTGAAAACCGAGACTCAGAGCTGTGGTCCCCAAGCTGGGTATTCAGAAGCAAATCACTACACAGTTCAATAACGTAGGGAAAGGCATTTTACTTGTTTGTCATCCAAAAAGTGTCCATGAAGTCCTGCCAGGCTGGCTTTTCCTGGGGTCCAGGACAGTGGCTGGCACAGAGTTCAGTCCCCAAACCCATTGGGTTAATGTGTTAAACCCTGGTGAGTTTCTTCCTAGGAATTCCCTGGAGGATTCGGTCTCTGCTGTGGCAGCTTGGCATTCAGCCTCTTCCTTTTCATGGTTGAAGTCTGCTAGACACGTCCTTCTCCTTCCCACTTCTGAGAGCAGCTGCTTGCCTTCTTCCTTTATTAACGTGATCAGTTTGCCCAAGGGCTTAGACATTTAATTTTTCCCCACATAAAATTTCATCTTTGTAAGCAATCTCTATTTATGTGTCTATTCTAAAGTATTAAACCAGTCATTTTCTTCACTCTTTCCTTCCCTAAGATTATTTTGGGTAATATTTGCTGACCTTTCCCTGTCTCCTTCTCCTCCCATCCTCCCCCTCCTCTCTTGGCTCCTCTTCCAGCATCTCCCAGTGGAACACTTTCTTCTCCGTTTTCCTTGCTCCAGGACAAGGTGAAATCATATCAGACCACTGTCTGCCTCCACCCGCACACAGAGATCCCGTTCATTCCAGGTTCTTCTCGAACCTCCCCATTCACAGTGGACCCGGACTCTGTCTGCTTTAAGGACCAGACCGCCCAATCAGCGGAGGAATATGCCCTACCACAGCCATGGTCATTCACGGTCATGCTTCTCTGATTCATTCAGCAAACAGGCAGTTGAGACTGAAGATAGAGTCTGGGGAGCATCTTCCTTTATCCTGTAAACTTTGAACTCAGTTGGAGGCCCCAAAACGAGGTCACCCTGTCTCCTTCAGGGTGTTGGAAAAGCATGGGGAGAAAAACCCAGCAGATGATGATTTTGACTCATTGACCTCTGGGCTATGGGCCTAGCGCGCTTCCGCTGCACTAACTCTGCTCACACCTGCAGAAGAGCTAGAATTTACATCCCCAATTCTTTCCAGTCTGATGGCCTCACGTCCTGAGAGGCCTCCCTTTCAGATGGCCTTTGTCCGTGTCTCTGACTCTCCCTCTCCTTATAAGGACACTGCCATTAGATTTATAGACCAACCTAACCCAGTAGGACTCACCTTTATTACATAAGCAAATACTTTTCAAAAAAAACTCACATCCAATGTGAGCCATGATAAATAGTGCTGTCAAAACTATTCTTTACATCATCTTACGTGTGATGTCTGGGAGGATGGATGACTTCAACACTTACATGGGCTTCTTGACCTTCTTGACCTTCTTGGCATTCTGCCCCAATAGCTCTTCGTGCAAGTGCAAATGAGAGACAGGTGCCAGACAACCATATTCTAACTAATTCCCAAATGAGTCTGCTAAGTCTCCTGCCTTTTATTTATTTAAAAAAATATATTTAAGAGAGAAATAGAAACATCAAAGATGAGAATCTCTGGTTAGCTGCCTCCTGCATGCACCCCACTGGGGATTGAGCCCACAACCTTGTGCCCTTGAACAGAATCAAACCTGGGACCCTTCAGTCCACAGGACGATGCGCTATCCATTGAGACAAACTGGCTAGGGTGTCTTCTGCCTTTTAAACCCAGGTTTTCCTGTGAGCCTTAATGAAGCTGTAGTTGGGATACCTTTGGATGGCACTGGAGTGTTTCTCTGCAAGGCTGGGCCTGGAGGGGGACCAGTCCTTTGCAGCTCAGAGCCCAGCATGCGAGGAGACAAAGAAGTGACAGCTGATTCCCCAGAATCTGAGAAACTCAGAGTTCCTGGGCTTTCATGTTAAAGAAAGGTGGAATACAGCAAGCTGATTCCCCAGAATCTGAGAAACTCAGAGTTCCTGGGCTTTCATGTTAAAGAAAGGTGGAATACAGCACTTGATCCTAAGGGGGATGATTGCTGGCAAGTGTGAAACCCTAATGAATACACAAAACAGGTCCTCAGGGGACAGGGCCAGGCCGCCTGCCTGGGGAAAAGGACCACGTAGTCGGCAGGATTTGAACCTGCGCGGGGAGACCCCAATGGATTTCTAGTCCATCGCCTTAACCACTCGGCCACGACTACAAGACCATGAAAGTCACTCTTCAGTTATAGACAACAAAGAATACAAACAACAGCACTGGAGCAGCCAGACCTGGGGCAGTGGCAGCCAGGCCTGAGGCTGAGGCAGCCAAGCCCAGGGTGGCCAGTCCAGGAACACGCAGACCTGGAGTGCCCGGGCCCGGAGAAGCCGGGCCCAGAGCAGCCGGGTTGGGAGCAGCCAGGCCCAGAACAGCAGTAGCCAAGCCGAGAGCATCCAGGCTGGGAGCGGCCAGATTCGGAGCGGCCGGGCCCGGGACAGCCGGGCCCAGAGCAGCCGGGTCTGTTGCGGCCAGGCCCAAAGCAGCGGTTGCCAGGCTGGGAGTGGCCAGGCCTGGAGCAGCCGGGTCGGGTGCGGCTAGGCCCGGAGCAGCAGCAGCCAAGTCCAGAGCAACTAGGTCGGGAGCAGCAGTGACCAGACCCGGAGCAGCTGGTTGTGGAACGAACCAGAGCAACAGAGGCCAGGCCCGGAGCAGCCAGGCCTGGAACAGCTCGCTCCTCGCCTGCCCCTGCCCCACGGCTGCCTCTCAGACATGGCTGGAAACTTTTGTGGGAACTTGAGGGTCTGCTGAATCAAGTGATGAAGGCTTAGATCTGGATGTGTTGAGTTAGTATAGGGCTGGGGTGTTGATCTGTGAGTGCCTTGGGTGGGGCCTGGATGAGGCTGGTTGACCTATTTGGAAATGTCTTTTGTGTGAAATGTATCATTGGGCATGTGGAGATATTATTGATATGAGAAAATGCTAAGTAACTGATTTACTATCTGAAAAGGGATTTACTATCGGGGAAAGGGAGGGAGGAAGAGACTGAACATAAACTGCACCTATGGATGAGGACAATGGGGGATGGGGAGGGAGCGGAGGATGGGGTGGGAACCTGGTGGAGGGGAGAAGAAATGAGGAACCTTTGTAATAATATGAACAATAAAGATTGATTTAAAAAAAAAAAAGAATACAAACAAGAGTAACCACGTGCTTTGTTGATTTGTATCCCATATACAAACAGGCTTTGTAAGATAAACGCAAACCTTTAGATGAAATGATTGTTGTCCATCATTTACACATATCACTTTTTTGTGCACAAATTTTTGTCAAACATAAATGATTCCCTCCCCCCAAGTCATTTGAAACCCTAGCTTTGCTTCAAGTTAGATACCAAAAAAACAAAACTTTTGTATTTAATAAAACCTGCAAAATAAAAAGCAATTCGTGATGCGTTGGAATGTCTGTATTCCTTTTCACTTTGTGTCTTTTCTTTTCTTTCTTTCTTTCTTTTTTTATTTTTTATTTTTATTTTTATTTTTTTATTTTTTTACAGAGAGGAAGAGAGAGATAGAGAGTTAGAAACATCTTGATCAGCTGCCTCTTGCTCACCCCCAACTGGGGATGTGCCCGTAACCAAGGAACATGACCTTGACTGGAGTCGAAGCTGGGACCTTTCAGCCTGCAGGCGGACGCTCTATCCACTGATCCCAACCAGCCTTTACTTTGTGTCTTTATTTCAAGTGTTCTCTCACAGCTTTCTTTCGGGTTTCATTTATGCCATGTTTTCTTGCAATCTATTGAGAATACCAAATTGTTTTTTACATTTTCTAGTTCCTACAGATCCCCTCTTCCCTCCACCTCCGTCCCCGCCCAGAAATCTGCTCTTATGAGACTTCTAGATATTGTTTCCTTCCCTTGACTGCAACTTTGTGTCCATTTACTGTTAGGATTTCCGAGTTAAGTTCTGTCAACCAAAACTTGATTTTGGCCCCTTTCCAGGTGCTGGGGACGCAGTATTTAAAAATACAAAAACCTACGACGTCCCACTGCACTACAGTCGGGCAAAACACGGTGACGCCACTTCCCGATTCCTTCAGCATTTTAAAAAGTATGGGTTACACCACATTTGGGAGTCATAAAAGCAAGAGTGGGTCAGGACCAGAATTTTTAAAAAAAGAATAGAACACTGACTAGAGGGCAGGACAGGTCATAGAAGTACTTGATGCATGGCGAAATGTTTGCTTTTTAAAATCACATGCGTGAAATGTGTATTTCTTATGACCTGTCCGATCCACACACTCGAGAGTGCGCGCTCCAATGCACACCCCCGCCTGAGCGATGCGGGGCAAATGACGCGCTGGCCGGCGGGACGGGGTCTCCCGGGTGGCCAGGCCCCTAGGAAATGGGTCGCCGCGCGGAGCATCCTGGGGATCGTAGTCCTGCGCCAGCGCGCGGAGCATCCTGGGGACCGTAGTCCTATGTGTCCACCGGCGTTTTAACGCACCCTCGAACGGGGGCGGGCTCTCTCCAGACGACCGGAAGTGGCCGTTGAAGCCGCTGTAGCCCGGGACGTGGGCGCTGGGCAAATCCAGCCGTTCTAGGTTCGGGGATCCTCCCGGCGCTTCCGAATCAGCGATCGGAGCTTGTGGGATCGCTTCGGAGAAAAGCGCAGGTATCACCATGGCAACCGCCAGCTCCCCGGACGCGTGACGTCGCCCTGCTCGCCCCGCTCGGAAAGGCCGCTGCGGAGGGAGCCGGGGGTCCTGGCAGGGGGCGCCCCACGCCGCCTTCAGCTTCAGCGCGGCGGCTCCGCCCGGACCCCGCGGCGGCTTTGTTCTTTGTTCCGCTCCGGGAGGAAGCGCGGAGCTGGGCCCGCCCCGCTGGGCCGCGGTCCAGCTTTCTGCCCCGCAACAGGTGTGCGCCCCGAATCCCGGCCCGCGGGCTCCGGAGGGAAGGGGACGTCTGTGGGCGCCTCTGGCCCCAGTCCGGGGCGGCTCCGAGGGTTTTCTTGTCCTGGGCTGGACCTGGAACCGAGCCCCCTGCTTTGCTCAGCGGGACTGCCCCTGCCGGCTCTTCTCTGTCCAGGGACCTCCCGGCCTCCCCGCAGACCTCGAGGTTTGACTGCGACGCAGGCCGCTGACCCCCGTGTCTCCCAGGCCAGCACCCTGGGCGCTGACGGTCCAGAGCTCGCTCTGGGTATCCGAGCCGCAGACGGAGGACGCACTGGAGGGCGCTTCTTGGGAAACCTTGGGTACTGGCTTCCAGAGGAACGGGATGACCTCCTGAGATGGAAGGTAGTGGGGACCTCAAGTGGGGGGTGAGGGGTGGGGGGAGGAAGGCGCGTGATGACGGAGGCAAAAGAACAGTCATCACTTGAAGAGCAAATACTCGTACAGCACTTGTCGGCTGAAGAGGCGGAAGGAGGAGGAAACCTTGAATTTAAGAATCAAGGAAAGAGACCGATTTACAGTGCAGGGAGAGACTTGGAGGAAGAGCTGGGGATGGGGAATGACAAGGAGGCATGATGCAGAATGTCTGATCCTCACATGGCATATTCATTCAATACTAGAGGCCCGATGCACGAAATTCGTGCGAGAGTGGGCCTTCTTTGCCCCGGCTGCCAGCACCGGCATCCCTCTGGCACTCATGACCCCGGCTTCCATGATCCAGGCTTTGTCCAGAAAGTCCTCTGGAAGGACATCAGGTCTAATTAGCATATTACGCTTTTTATTATTGGTCAGAATGGTAATCTTGAAGTCAGGAAAAAAGTCTTGGCAATCATTCTTTCAAGAAACCATTTTTCAACATATGGTTGGGAGCTGGCCAATGCCTGTAGGAGTGTGGCATTACACTCTCCGTTTTCTGTGGACTTTTCCCTCCTCTCTTTTTAAATTTTTTATGTTAGAAGTGCCTGTCCCTTCACTTCTGCATTGATCTTAGTTCTTGGAGTCCCCAAAGCAAAACTGTTTTCAGTCTCACACTGCTGTCCTTCACATATGTCAAATCAGTTATTACAACTATTCACAAATCCTTTTCTAAGCAGAATAGCCTCCATTCCTTTGATGCTTGTTCATGTGATACTTAGAGGCCTGGTGTACAAAATTCATGCACAAGGGGGCGAGTGGAGGTGTTGTTATCAGCCTAGCCTGCACCCTCTCCAATCTGGGACCCCTTGGGATTTCCGGCAGTCGGACATCCCTCTCACAATCCGGGACTGCTGGTTCCCAGCCGCTCTCCTGCCTGCCAGACTGATCACACCCAACCACTCTCTTGCCAGCCAGATTGCCCCCAGTTGTCCTCCCCTGCTGGCACGGTTGCCCCCAGCTGCCCTATCCTGGAGGCCTGGTCCCCCCAACTTCCCTCCCCTACTGGCCATCTTGTGGCGGCCATCTTTGACCACATGGGGGTAGCCATCTTGTGTGATAGCATGAGGGTCAATTTGCATGTTACCTTTTTATTATATAGGATATCAAGGCCTCTTCTCTGAAACTCACTGCAATGACAGCATGCTTCTAAAAAATGAAACAGTTCAGTGGATGTGCTTTCAAAAATACTAAAAGTACAATGTATTGCTTTATATTTGGATTCTGTGGTTTAGTATCATATTGTATTTGGATTTTAAAAATTAGCAATATTGCCGGGACCGGTTTGGCTCAATGGATAGAGCGTCAGCTTGGGGACTGAAGGGTCCCGGGTTCGATTCCGGTCAAGGGCATGTACCTTGGTTGCGGGCATATCCCCAGTGGGGGGTGTGCAAGAGGCAGCTGATCGATGACTCTCTCTCATCGATGTTTCTAACTATCTCCCTTCCTCTCTGTATAAAATCAATAAAATATATTAAAAAAAATAAAAAATAAAAATTAGCAATATTATGCTGTAAGCCCTAAATCATTTTTACATAATTTGCAGTGAACTTTGTGTAATAGAATTGGTTTTATTTTTTTATCCCCAATGCCAGGGCTTCACATGTATGATTATTTAATATTTTGGCCAAGAGCTCCAGCTTGTCCAAATAGTTAAGAATTTAATTACTCATTGTTTTACCTCTTTTTCCCAACTTTATGTAATTAGAAGATTTATTGTATATTCCTCTATTTCTTCCTACATGTTACCAAACAGATCAAGGTAAGCAAAGAGTTCTGTGACATGTCCCTTTAGATTTCCCTCTGCATTGTCACTGTCTTTACATGCTTTAGGTATGGCTATGCAGTCAGGTTTGGTTTAACCTATTATTATACAGTCATTTTTAAATTTTATTTCTTTGATATCATTAGAGGTCTTAACATTATTTATATTATTTATGTAGTTTGAGCTATACCTTATATTTGTCTCAATTCTTTGTCTCGATTCTATATATATATATATAATTTCAGAGAGAAAGGGAGAAGGAGAGAGGGAAACATCAATGATGAGAATCATTGAATAGCTGCCTCCTGCATGCCCCCTACATAGAGCTGCTTTGTCTCCAGGACTTGGTAGAGTGCCCTTGGTAGTAGGTGTCCTGTAAGGCCCTGTAGTTCAGCCTCCTCAGTGACCTGAGCTGGGCACTCTAGTGCTCCCCTTTGGGGGCTGTGTGCACAGTCTTGTAGTTGAGCCTTGATTGCTGGTGATGTCACTGGGAGGAGTTGAACTCCAGGTCAATTGGCTGTGAGGACCAGCTGGGACTACAGGGAGAGCTGATGTGCAAGAAACACCCCTATGGAGCAGGACTTGCTTCAGTGGGGCTTTGGTGCTCACCGAGTGTTCCCTTTGAGGGTGTGGCTTGTGGACGTGTAGAGTTGTAATCTGCTATGGTCTGAAGCTGCCCACTGGCTCTGCGGCCTCCCTGGAGGTGCAGAGTCAGTCACTGCCTGGGGCCACCCAGCAGGAGCCACAAAGAGTTCACCAGGTGGGTGCTGTTTGTATTGGGCTTGGAAGTGCCCAGGTGAGGCCCAGCTGTGAAGCAAGGCAGGCTGGTGCTTGGGCCTCTGATTGGTAGGTTTGGGGCATGCTTATGCCAGCTGCTGCTTGTTTAAGTGATTTTTAAAAAAATCTAAAGCCTGGGCCAGTTCAGGCCATTCATATGGAAAAGCCACTGCAAACAGCTTGTGTGGGGCTGCAAATAGGATGGGGCAGGGTCTCAGGAAATCACTAGGTTGGAGTGAACAGTGTGGACCATGCTGATGGAATCTCAGATATGGCTGCCAGCACAGGAACAATGACCCTGCGAGCACTGCCATCTGGGAGAAAGCCACCCCCAAGTTCCTGCCCTGATGCCAGCAGTTGTAGTGACCACGTCCATTTAACTCTAGACGTTCTTGCAAGGAGTATAAGTATATTCACTGCTCTGATGTTTAATTTGCATTAATAGCAAAGTTTCAAAAGGCCTGTGAAGACCTTGATCAGCTAGTGGGATCAATAAAGTAGTCTGATTATTTATTGTCTGATATATTAAATATATATATATTATTGATTATATATATATTTTTATTGATTTTTTAATATATATTTTATTGATTTTTTTTTACAGAGAGGGATAGAGAGTTAGAAACATCGATGAGAGAGAAACATCAATCAGCTGCCTCCTGCACACCCCCTACAGGGGATGTGCCGCAACCAAGATACATGCCCTTGACCGAAATTGAACCTGAAACCCTTCAGTCCACCGGCCGACGCTCTATCCACTGAGCCAAACCAGTTAGGGCTATTCATGTTTTTTATGTAACAGAGGAAGCAGCAGAAATATTTTGCCTCACTTAATAGGATCATAGATTGAGTTGTATGATCCATATTGGTATAAGTATCTAGAGACAAAATTGTTAATCTTAAAGTAATGATTTATATCAGGGCTATAGTCAGCAATTATCTTGATTCTTTTGGATTCTGTGAATTTGAACTAAAGGAAATGGCACAATTCCTGTTATCTTCAACTAGAAAAGTAAGTGGGCTTTACAGATTGCTGGGAGCAGCTATGGTGGACAGGATTCACTGGTTTCTTCTTCCTCACCTAGATCTGCCCTCTCCAATATCTGCCCTTCTCCAAGGGGGACATGATATACTCCCATCAGCCAGTTTTCAGGTAAGTTGGGATTTCCTGAAATGCCATTTTGCTCCTGCGAGTGGAATAGTATATTCTTTTGCTGTGGGGGTATATTTATCCAAAAACAAATGTTGTGTTTTATTCTAGGCTCCCATTTGATGTTCTTCATGTTCTGCTTCCCTAGCTTAACTAATGTATTTACCACTTACCTCTTGTTTATTAGTAGTTTGGCATGCTTCAATGTGGCAAATAAATATTTAAAAGGTGAAATGAATGCGTGGAAAATAGAGAATGAATAAGGTGTAGATGGATATTTGGACAAATAAGGTCAGAGAGTTGAGGTAGATTCTGATTATGGATAAAGATTATGAACAAAAGTTAACATAAGAATTAGCTGGTGTTATACAGGATTCATAAAAAATTGGAGGAGATGATTTATTTTGGCAAACAGTAAACGGTTGAACAAGGTTGGAATATGAAAGGTAGTGAATGTCTAGTAAGAAGTGAAAGCTTTATTTTATAGATCATTTGTGAACCATTAATTGTTGTTGTTTTACCCTCACCAGAAGATACATTTTACTGATTTTAGGGAGAGAAGGAGGAACATCTGTGTGAGAGAAACATCAATTGATTGCCTTCCATACATGCCCCAACCAGAGATGGAATCTGCAACGTGGTTGTGTCCTGACCGGGAACAGAACCCCCAACCTTTTGGTTTATGTTTTCATATTCATTTTACAAAGGTGGAAATATCAGAATCATTTTTCAGATAGCCCATGGCTTGCCTTACTCTGTCAGTATTGCTAACTTTACCCCTTTCCTAGGTAAATGCTTTGTGGTCCAGCAGAAATGTGTTTGGTATTTTAGGAATCAGTGACTTTCAAGGATGTGGTGGTGGACTTTACCCAGGAAGAATGGAAACAGCTGGATCCTGTACAGAGAGATTTATTCAGGGATGTGACATTGGAAAATTATACACATCTGGTCTCTATAGGTAGGATGATGCCTCTGAGTTAATATCTGGGGGTGTAAAGGAGCAAGGGGTTATTTTGTACTTAGGTGAATTTTGCCTTTAAGTTAGGAAATCAAGGATTCCTAATTTTGAAAGGCTTTTCTCTCTCCTAGCAAGTAGGACAGACTAATAATTTTTCTGAACCCAGATCAGTTCCCAAATTATACCGTGTGAGGGAATCTGTAACACTGACACTTGATATATAGATTCCCATCGGATCAGTCCCACATGTCTTTTCCTCTGGACACAGAGTGGTGAAGAGGAATTCTGACTGGGCACTTTTCCCTTACTGAAGACAGGTACCTGTCTTTTGTTTTCCCTCATGAGCAGGACTCCAAGTTTCCAAACCTGATGTGATTTCCCAGTTAGAGCAAGGGACAGAGCCGTGGAGTGTGGAGCCAGGCATTCCAGTGGGTGGCTGTGGAGGTAAGTAATGGGTCCCAGAGTTGAATGTCATTAACCCAACCACCAGCCTGACAAGAAGATTTCGTGTCTGAAATGTGGACGTACTTGCTTCTTGTGGAGAAATGGAATGCCACCGGGACTCCCTTATGCTTTGTCAAAACTCTGTCTCAAGACATTCTATTTTATACTCCTCAGAGAAGGCACCCTTCCTGCTTTTTGTAAAGTAATCTCTTGATTAGTTCTGGATTCCATCTTTTCCCATCTCCTTTGGGAACCTCAGTTCATAATTATCACTTCACTTTTCAGCCCTTACAGTTTTCTTTTGGGTTTCTTGGCTCTATCATTAGTACCTTCAAACAGAAGTAGGTAACCTTAATTTCCAACTACTTTCATTCAACATGGTTAATCTGTTAGGCTACCATCCAATCTGCCCCCCTGCTTTCCCATCCACACTCTGCAATAATGATTGCATCCTTCTTAATATCAGCTTCTGTTTCTGTCACTTTACCAGACTATCCTTGAAATTATACTTTCCTGCATGCCACCTACTAGGGATTGGGATCCAACCTGCAACTGGGGCATGTGCCCTTGACCAGGATTGAACCTGGGACCCTTCAGTCCATAGGCCTTATGCTCTATCGACTGAACCAAACCAGTTAGGGCTAAAGACTTTGTTTTATATTCATAATAAAACTTGGAAGAAGGGGATGGGGTGGAAATGGAGGAGAGTATAGGGAGCATAAATGATAGAGAAAAAAATAATTTTTTTTAATACACACACCAAAGAAAAAACACAAAAGTTAATAAGTACAAAGTTAATAAGTCTTTTATTTTTAAATATATTAATTTTCTAAATTACATATCATGAGACCATATTCTAATATAAAGGTTATAAAGGTGCAGTGTCATTACCAAAAAGAGATTATATTTAGGTAAAAAAAAAATACACCCATGTTACACAGATAATGTAGATAATTCCAGTGGGCAGAAAATCCCTTGAAGTATTTAGTTCCAGTCTCTTGTTCACTTTTTGTTGCTGGAAATGAGCCACTAATGACAGTCTTGGCAAGCTTGCCCCTGGTCCTGCCCTCTTCAGCATTTGGAGCAGACTTATCCTTAGCTGGTGACTTGGATGCTTCATGTCTATAACTTGATTTATAGTTCTGCAGGCATCTGTACAGGTACTTGAAGTTGTGATGGTACATACACTGAGGTGGGCACTGGTCCTGGGCTCTGTATGCATGATTTTTCTTACCCTCTTTCTTGACATCCTTTCTATGCTGCCATGTGACCTGGCCCCTGAAGAGTCATGATCATATTCTGATGTGTAGTCTTTCTCACTGGCCCATGGTGTTCCTTAGCTGCTAGTTGTCAACACCCCCTTTCCATGTGGTAAAGTGGAAATGGCTTTATGCAATTCCTAGGGTGCTGTTCAGTCTGACCTTCTGGAACTTTCTCTAGTCCTTCATTCCTTGCCCACCCCTGATATTCTGGTAACTGTTGCTTATGTAGAAGACATGGCAGTGTGGATAGCATAGGTCACAGTTTGTTGTCTTCAACTGGAATTCCATCCAGGGCTGGAGATGAGCCGCTTCCTCTGCTGGGCCTTTTCTCCTTTGATATCATCAGAGGCCATGGTCTCCAGTCCTCCACTGTGAAGTACTTCCAGGAGCTGAGGATATCTTCATGGCCATCTGCTGTACAAATATGTCTTTGTTAGTGTCGTTTCCATTGATGGCTATTTCCCAAAGCCTGTTGCTTTGATTGTTTGGTCCCTGCTTGGGAAGCTGCTCTGAACCTGCTACTCCTCCATAGGCGGCACCACGCCCCATGGTGCCAGATGTGGTCTGGCTCCCTGCTTGAGCTTGCAGGTATAAGAGTGATAGTCATTGACTGGGCTGGCTGCTTGGGTTAAGTCTGCTATACCCTCCAGTTACCAGATTTTTTAAACACAGCCTCTTTTTAAAATCTTATTGGTATTAGAAAGGTAGGGAGGGAAACATGGGTGTGAGAATATCGATCGGCTGCTTCCTACACTCCCAGTACTAGGGGTTGAGCCTGCAACCTGGGCATGTGCCCTGACTAGAATCAAACTGGTGATCTCCAATGTTTGACCAACTGAACCATTTGGGTCAGGACAAATACAGTCATTTTTCTTGGCTGAATTGCTAGCATTGACTACCCTACTTCATTTACTTGTCATCTTTCTTTTCTTAGGACTTGACAAACACACCCTAACCCCCAGAGTAGAAAATACAGTAGTGTAACTCTACTTCCTGATAATGTACTTCTCTTTTTGTTTCATCTATTGTTTTCTTTGCTAATAAACTGCCTTCTTTCATTAGTATATTTTAATCATCCCATTATCTTACACACTCACCTGTGTTCTTTTATTACATACATTCCTATGGCTTCAGCTATTGTTTTCCTTTATTTTTTGAGTTGATATTTTCTAACCTATATTTCAGGATCTTAGTTATTCTGCTTCTTTTGGTGTCCATCACCACAGATATTATATAGTCTCCATTTCTGTTCCTAATTCTCAGCATACCTAGAGTCAAACTGTTTTCCTCCCCTCCCCATTAAATTATTTCTACTACTATTTACAGCTTTCCCATTTTTAGCAATGAAATGAGTGTTACTTCAGTATTCCAGGCCAGAATCCATGCAGCCTTTGCCAGGTATTTTTTGTTTGTTCTGTCTTGACATCAGAGTTCTTATTTCTGTGTTGTTGTTTATCAGTGAGAAATCTCAGTTCAGACTACCTCCTCTTAGCCTAGTGTGTCTCCTCTTAGTTATCTCTCTGTCACCCTTTAAATTAATAATTTCCTTAAATGGAATTTCCTTATGAGTTCTTACAGATGACATATAAAACTGAATTACCCCTACCTGGTTTGGCTCAGTGGATAGAGCATTGGCCTGCAAACTGAAAGGTCCCAGATTCAATGTGCCCAGATTGTGGGCTCGTTCCCCAGTGGGGGACTCGCAGGAGGCCGCCAACCCATGACTCTCTCTCATTATGAATGTTTCTATATCACTCTCCCTCTTCTTTCTTCTCTGATATCAATAAAAAATATTAAAAAAAAACACACACCTGAATTAGATATTCTCTTTCTATTTTTTATTTATATAGCATTCTCCTTAGCTCCTTCCAAATTTCTCCTCAAATAATAGGGCTATTTTTGAAAATACTCAGAATATCCTGAGGGCTTTAAATTTCATTTAATTAGGTCATTTCCAAAACTGCCGTTCATTTACTATTTGTTTTTTACCTCCCTATTCAGAGAATACTGGCATTTTTTTCTTTCAGACTGGGAAACAAGACCAGAAAAAAACTTATCAGTCCCAGAGCCATCTCCAGAGGCAATAGTAGAAAAACACAAAAGTGATCAGTCTTGGAGTTCTAATTCCTCAGAAGCATTGTCATCTAAAGAAAATCTAGAGAGGAAGCAGGCAAATGAACAGACATTGCCAAAGGAAATAAAAATAACTGAGAATACAATACCACATTTGGAGAGAGACCATGTAAATCATGACTTTGAAAAAAACATCAATATTAGTTCAAATGTAGTACGACAACAGGACATATCTCCAAAAGAGACTGCTACTAAAACAAGCACCAAACAGAATTTAAAACCAGTTAAAAAAGAGAAATCTTGTAAGTGCAATGAGTGTGGGAAAGCTTTTAGTTATTGTTCGGCGCTTATTCGCCATCAGAGAACACATACTGGAGAAAAACCTTACAAATGCAATGAATGCGAGAAAGCCTTTAGCAGAAGCGAAAACCTTATAAACCATCAAAGAATTCATACTGGGGATAAACCATATAAATGTGATCAATGTGGAAAAGGCTTTATTGAGGGTCCATCTCTTACTCAACATCAAAGAATTCATACGGGAGAAAAACCCTATAAATGTGAGGAATGTGGGAAAGCCTTTAGTCAGAGGACCCATCTTGTTCAGCATCATAGAATTCATACTGGTGAGAAGCCGTATACTTGTAATGAATGTGGAAAAGCCTTTAGCCAGAGAGGCCACTTTATGGAACATCAGAAAATTCATACAGGAGAAAAACCATTTAAATGTCCTGAGTGTGATAAGACCTTCACAAGGAGCACTCACCTTACTCAACATCAAAAAATCCATACTGGAGAGAAAACCTATAAGTGTAATGAATGTGGGAAGGCCTTCAATGGGCCCTCAACATTTATCCGTCATCATATGATTCACACTGGTGAAAAACCATATGAATGCAATGAATGTGGAAAAGCCTTCAGTCAGCACTCGAACCTCACTCAACATCAGAAAACGCACACTGGGGAGAAACCTTATGATTGTGCTGAATGTGGAAAGTCCTTTAGTTACTGGTCATCCCTGGCTCAACATCTGAAAATTCATACCGGAGAAAAACCTTACAAATGCAATGAATGTGGGAAGGCCTTCAGTTACTGCTCATCCCTTACACAGCACCGCCGAATCCACACCAGAGAAAAACCCTTTGAATGCAATGAATGTGGGAAGGCTTTTAGTTACCTTTCAAACCTTAATCAGCATCAGAAGACTCATACCCAAGAGAAAGCTTATGAATGTAAGGAATGTGGAAAAGCCTTTATTCGGAGTTCATCTCTTGCTAAGCACGAAAGAATTCATACTGGTGAGAAACCCTATCAGTGTCATGAATGTGGGAAAACCTTTAGTTATGGCTCATCCCTTATTCAGCATAGGAAAATACATACTGGAGAAAGACCCTACAAGTGCAATGAATGTGGGAGAGCCTTCAACCAGAACATACACCTTACACAACATAAGAGAATTCACACGGGAGCAAAACCTTATGAGTGTGGTGAGTGTGGCAAAGCCTTTCGACATTGTTCATCTCTTGCTCAGCATCAAAAAACTCACACAGAAGAAAAGCCCTACCAGTGTAATAAATGTGAAAAGGCATTTAGCCAGAGCTCCCATCTGACTCAGCATGAAAGAATCCACACTGGAGAGAAGCCATTTAAGTGTAACGAATGTGACAAAGCCTTCAGCCGGAGCACTCATCTGACTGAGCATCAGAACACTCACACTGGGGAGAAGCCATACAACTGTAACGAGTGCAGGAAGACTTTCAGCCAGAGCACTTACCTCATTCAGCATCAGAGAGTTCATTCAGGAGAAAAACCTTTTGGATGTAATGATTGTGGAAAAGCCTTCAGGTATCGTTCTGCTCTCAACAAACATCAGAGGCTACACCCTGGCATATGACTGTACTGTGAAGAACCAGAATGGATTGAGAAACTGCTTAACTCATTTTAACTGTTTACTCTCACACTGTGGAATGGAAAGTGCATTGGGCTGAAGTAATCAATTATGTTAAGCTACTTTGTAACGTTAGAAAATTCAACTGCTTCAGGCCTCTTTTTCTTCTGTGAAATGAGGGATTTGGAGACGATTTCAAACGTTGTTTGGAGGCTTATATTCAGTCTACTCATAATATATTCTTGAATAGGATTACTATACAACACATTTTGCTGTGTTGCATCTAGACTATGTTTGTGCATGTTTTGCTAAGAGAAAGTATTTACACTTCAGCAACGAGGGATCTATTGTGCTCCTGTTCTAATGCATTTAAACTGTTTGAGTAACTGGTTTCTATTTAATAAAAAGGATTATAAAATACCCTCATGTTAATAATTCAGTAGCATGTAATGTCTTAGCACAAGTATTGAACTTTCCTATTATTTTCTATTATGTTTTAACATTCTAATTTATTACAACTCTAGAGATTCTCTTCTACAGCTCAAACTAGTGTTACCTGACCCTAGTGGCATAGTGGAATTGTTTTAGGAACTATACACTATTGCTAAATCATGCCTGGTATACAGCTTCATAGTTTAAATTACAAAAAAAAATTTTAAAAAATCAAATGTTGGGCCACAGATTATATTAGAATTCTTTTGAGTCCTCAAAATGTATGGACTTGGTGTCTTGATGGCCCACCAGCCCCTTTTCTTAAATTATTTCATCCTCTTATTGCCTTTACTCTCCATCTCCATTTCCTTTCACAGGCAAATTTTAAAAGACAACTTGTGTTGGGAGAATAAAGACAAAAGATATATAAAGATGACTGATGGGATGTAAAAGTTAAATTAATCACCAGCTGTCCCTTTACCTCCCAAAATTGCATAAAAAGCGATCAACTAAGAATTGGGGCGAAGGACTATTCCTCCACAACTCCAAGCTCATGTTTACACTACTTCAAACACCTAGGTTTCATAACTATAGTTCTTTTTCTATCTTTCATTGTTACAAAATTTTAATGCAAGATGCTCTGATTAGTTTGCAAGAACGACTAATTCATACCAGGAAAGACAGAAAATCACTAGCAGAATTAAACACAACCTTTGCATAAAAATGGGATTGGAAAATGAGTATCATAGTTAGCAAGCATAACCAACAATGCACTTACTTCATTAAAACCAAGCACTCCCTTGAATTTAGATCTCCAAACTGCTGTATCGGAAAGCATTAAACGTTGTTAAAGATCGTGAGTGCATAGTCACGAGTCTTGTATCAAACAGTTTCATTACAGAAGACAGCGCATCTGAAGCAGCCTCCCTCTGGTGAAGCGAAAGCGCGCTCCCTGCTGCTCCCGTGCTCTCCGTGAGACTGGGCTCCCTCCTCTGCCATCCCACTTTGTCCACGCATTACATTGGGTTCACACCTCCTCAAGAAGTCCGTCCATAGCCAGAATCCACACGTTAACAAGTTAGTGAACTAATATTTGAAAAGGAAAACAAAAAACAACAACAAAAAAAAAAACACCGGCGGGTGCGTGGTGGGTAGGGTCCACTCACCAGGCAAATGCGCCCCTGGCGTTGCTGCTGGGCGGAGCAGGCGGACCTGCAGAAGAGTGAGTGAGTGGGTGGGCGGTCCTGCGAGTGGAGCCTCCCAGCCAGATGCCGCACCCTCCCGGCTCTTTGGGGCATCTGGCTTCACGGAGGCCCCGAGCCTTGAAAAGAATGGGTTTCGGCAGAGGCTGGTGGTTCCACCCCTGGACTCCTGGGAGCTACCACCCGTGAAAAGGGGGCCAAGGCGGCCTTGGCTAGGGGGGCCGGAGAAGGGCCAGACACACCCTCAGCACGCGGGGGTCCGGCCCTGTGCGCAGCCTTCCCGACCCACCCACCGTGGGAGCCCCTCTCCCTCTCGCAGGGCCTTGCCAAGCGCCTGGCCTTGGGCTCGGGCATCATCGTGGAGACAGCATCATCGTGGAGACATCAGACGGCGCTGGCAGAGCCACAGTGACATTTTCTTAAAGCTGACAGCCCACCCTCCCCATCCCTGATTCCTTCTGAAATCATTATTAGGAGAGCACTACTTTTTTTTATTATTATTTTATGGATTATTTTTTACAGAGAGGAAGAGAGAGGGATAGAGTTAGAAACATCGATCAGCTGCCTCTTGCACACCCCCTACTGGGGATGTGCCTGCAACCAAGGTACATGCCCTTGACCGGAATCGACGCTCTATCCACTGAGCCAAACCAGTTTCGGCAGAGAATTACTTTAAAAAACAAACAAAACAAAAAACAAAAACAAACAAACAAAAAAAAAACCACACACACACTTTTAAAAATTGATTTCAGCCGAAACCGGTTTGGCTCAGTGGTAGAGCGTAGGTCTGCGGACTGAAAGGTCCTGGGTTCGATTCCAGTCAAGGGCATGTACCTTGGTTACGGGCACATCCCGGGTGGGGGGTGTGCAAGAGGCAGCTGGTCAACGTTTCTCTCTCATCAACATTTCTATCAACGTTTCTAGCTCTCTCTGTAAAAAAATCAATAAAATATATTTTAAAAAATTGATTTCAGAAAGGAAGTGAGAGAGAGAAGCATCAATGAGAGAGAATAGTGGATCAGCTGCCCCTCGGGGGCTCAGGCTCTGGGTAGCGAAAGGGGGCCTCACTGACTCAGAGGACCAGCCAGGAGCACTGGACCCAATGGGGCTGTGCCCTCCGCACTGGCCTTCCTGCAACCGGCAGGTGCCAGTCCTCTGCCAGGAGGACAAGCTCCCGGTCTCACCCAGGCTCGCCTCGCAGCAGATGCATCCAGGCCGACCTCCCACAACCGCCCTCTGAGTCGGACAGGGCCTCCGGAGGCCTCCTCTCTCCGCCCCGGAAGGCACCGCCGGTCCCGAGCTCGGCTACGTCGCCATCTCGCCGCCCGCGGCTCCACCTGGCGCGCTGCGCCGCTCCCATCCAGCTGCGCGGGCTCCGGTCCTGGTCTCCCGCTCCGACCCCGGGGTCCGCGCGGGATCGCGAGCCAGTCTGCCGTCAGCGCTGGGGACCCGGCGCCTCGTACTCCAGGCACCTTCCCCCCAATGCACGGACCAGCCCTTCACCCCTCGCGCCCCCGGACCCACCTCTCTCTGTCCCCGCGCATGGCTCAGGTCCCCACACCGCAGAGCCTGCGGGCTGCCGCGCCCCGCGCGCCCCGGCTCCCGCGGATGCTGATGGCTTGGCGCGGGGCCCGCAGGTGCGGGGCGCCCCAACACCCTCGCTTTTCCCTCGCGCCGGGATCCCAACCGTCACCGAACCCTGCGCGCCGGGACTCGGCGGAGCCGGCGGGTGTCGGACCCCTCGGAGGCCGACGCCGTCCCCAAAGTCGCCGAGTCGCCTCGCCGCTCCGCATGGGCGGCTACCTGGGCAAATGGGGGGCTCCGCCCCCCGCGGCCGAGGGGGCTGCAGACCCGCCGCAGAGGCCCGCGACCCGCCAGCCCTCCCAGGCCCTTCACCAGCTCCACCGGGTTCAGCACGTCCACCGCGCCCACCCTGCGCCGCGGCTCCGTCCGGGCCGGAGGCCGCGGGACTGGGACCCCGCCAACCCCGCCTCGTGGGCAGCGAGTGAGGCCTGGAGGCGCTTCCCCATGCGGCGCCCCCAGCGTTCCATCGTGGGGCCGCTGCCCGCGGACTGGTGGGAGAGCTACCTGAAGCGCACCATCTGGTCCCTCCGGCACCCCCGGGCGGTGTGGAGCCCCGTGACCGTCAGAATCACCCCCCGGGCGCAGCGAGGGCTCCCCGCCGGGCCCCGGGCGCAGACCATCCGCTCGGCAGGGGCTTCCGCCTTGGAGACGCCCCCGGACCCGCGTGCGAAGGAGACGGTGCTCCAGGTCCTCAGAGAGTCCAAGCCAGGGAGGCTGCGGCCGGAGGAGCCGCTGCCCCGGGCCCCCGTGAGGCCGGACAGCGAGCGGGGAAGCCCCGAGGCCACAGTGTCTGCGTTCAAGCCTCTGGGGCGGAGTGGGAACCCCGCTGCCTTCGTGCCCAACCTCGGGCCTCTGAGCTTAGGCCAGGGCTTGAACAGGAGGCCCAGCTCCTGTTCCCTGAGCTCCGTGGCCAGCTCGCGCCCAGCGGGCCCCCTGGGCGCCAAGAGAAACGCGATCACCAGCTCGTACAGCTCCGCCGGAGGCCTCTCTGCGCCTGGGAAGAGACGAGCGCCCCTCCCGACGCCCGAGTGGCCGGTGAGGAAGAGCGGTCCTCAGCGGCGCGTGCCAGGCCCGCTGGCCTCGGAGGAGCCCCGGGCAGCGTCCGGCAGCCCCGGGCCGCGACGCGAGGAGACTCCACAGCTGCTCGCTGGCCCTGCGCCCCCGCTGGCCCTGAGTCCATCCCCCCAGCTCGGCTATGCAGTCCCCGCTGAGGACCTGGCCTCGGGGACAGAAGGTAGGCTTCCGTGGAGCAGCAAAACCAAGAAGGATGTCACGGATGCCACCGCAGACCCTGCACCTGACGCCCAGTCTGCGGCTCTGCCTTCCCTGTCCCGCACCCTGTCTCCTGCAGGCCCCGATCCAGCCGAGGGCGCAGATCCTCAGGTGGCATCTCCAGGCCCACGGGCCTCCCCAGAGCCTGTGGGAGAGAGAACCAGTATGGTCCACTCGACTCCAGAGACGCCCAGCCTGCTGGCCCCACTCAGGTGCTCCGGGGCAGAACCCCATGCAGGCCCCTCTGCAGGCTCAGAGTCCACAGCTGCTGTCACCTTTCTGACCCCTGTTCCCCCCACCTCACCTGTCACTGACACCACACGGCCACCCTCAACCTGTCAGGCTGACACGTCTCACACGCCCCCGGGCCCACCTGCCATCACCCCCAAGGCACCCTCCACAGAAAGGACTGCGTTTGGAGGGGTGAGGAGGCCGGTTCACCATCTTTCTGCCTCTGCACCGCCTGCTGCCACCTCTGCTGACCCCACATCAAAGCCCAGTTGGAGGTCCCCACCCAACAATGAGGCCGGAGTCTCCTTATCTTCCAGCATCTCACCGACAACGGCAGCCCGACCCCCTCCAGGTCTCTCAATGCCCACCTTCAAGCCCGTCTTCGGAGGCATCGAACCGCTTAAAAAGAGGCCTGCAATCCCTCCTTTCTCCTTTGAACAGACCTCTCCTCCAGGTCCTCCTGCTGCTGCCCACCTCTTCCACAGCCTGGGCAAGATCAGCTCTATAGCCACCTCCACCACCCCGGTCAGCAAACCCACAGACTCATCTCTCAAGCCACCTCGGGATTTTGGCGGAGTAGGTGTTACCAGGACTGTAGGCAACACTTACTCTGACACTCCCCCTCCTCACACTTTTCCCCTTGAGGCTTCCCATGCCTTCAGGGCCAATTTCTCGAGCCCAGTCACGGGCTTCACTTTCCCAGCTCCCCAGCTTTCTACCATTCCCATGGTAAATGTGGGCAACATCTTCAGCCAGGTCTTTCCCAGCTCTGTCCAACTATCCCCTAGGAAAACCGCTGCCCATTTTAAGGGCAAGGGCATCCCTCTGTCGCCCTCAGCCCTTGTAACCTCAAGCCAGCCCAGGTTGTCATCGGGCATCTCCAACCCAACCTCAGCACTCACCGCTTCTTTGGGGTCAAGCTCAAAGCCACTTTTCCCACAATCCCTGGGAGTCATGCCCCAGCCTGTGTTTGGAGCTTCAGGTGGGCAAAGGCAAGCGGCTCACCAACCAGCCCTTAGCCCATGCTTCAAGAGCTCTTTTGTTTTTGGAAGCTCAGCAGTGGTATCCCCAACCCCAGCCTCAACTCCAGCCCAGCCAGCCTTTGGCGGCCCCACACAGTCAGCATTTGGGGTGTTGACACCCTCTGCCTCCACCTTCCATGTCCCTGCCAGCATCCAGACAGGCACAGGCATCACCCCAGCAGGCTTTCTCTTGGGTCCAGCTAGTGCCACTAGTTTTGGGGTTGTCTCCCAGACCCACCAGAGTGGGGTTCAGACCTCAGTGTTTGGCAGCACAGCCCCACGACCTTTTGCCTTTGGGGGGTTAGTGACCCCTATGGACTGTGGGGAGGCTGGGGACAGCATGACCATCCCAGACATGAGCTCCAACTCTGGAGTGTTCTCCATCGGAGCAATGCCCGGTAGGGCCA